GGAAGAGTAAGAGTGAGAAAAACTCCTGGGTTGAGATAAGAACAGTTTAATATTTGAAATAAAGTAAAACAGTAGTAGTAGTAGTAACAATAGAATAATAATAGTAATAATAATATACAAAGCAAGTGATGCACAATGCAATTGCTCACCACCCCACTGACTGATATCCAGACAGTTCCTGAGCAGCGATAGCGGCTCCCCGGCCAACTCCCCGCAGCTTATACTGAGCATGACATCATATGGTATGGAATAGCCCTTTGGTCAGTTTGGATCAACTGTCCTGGCTGTACCCCCTCCCAGTTTCTTGTGCACCTGGCAGAGCATGGGAAGCTGAAAAGTCCTTGAGTAGCATAAGCAGTACTCAGCAACAACTAACACATCAGTGCGTTATCAGCATTATTCTCATACTAAACCCAAAACACAGCACTATGCCAGCTGCTAGGAAGAAAATTAACTCTATCCCAGCTGAAACCAGGACATCTATCAAATACTATAAAACATACTTATACCTCTTTCCTGGCAATCTCTTGGAGCCGCCTGGGTAGGCGTTTAATGTTGTGACTCATAGCTCGCCTTCGCATGTGCCTAGGCAGAGTCTGGAAAACTAGAGAGTTTGAAGACTTCTGCGCAACCGCTTTCAACATGGCACTGATCTCAGCAGCACGAGCTTGAGCAAAGGTAGACACTGGAATGATAAGAACTGCATCAGAGCATGACAAATGGCAAAAATCAAAGAAGGGGACACTGTACATAAATTACTGAATTCCAGCAGAGCATTCCTAGTACATCAGTCTAATGAGTTCTTGAGATAAAAATACGATATACTATTTCTGAAGAAATTTCAATTCTTTAGATATTCTGAAGCTTACAGTTATACATGAATGAAACTGAAAGCCATGGTATAACCAACAAATCCTATTTGCATTAAGTACTTTACTAAATTAGAGTAGCAATCTTTTCAGATGGTATTCAGAGATGAAAAAAACTTCAGCATGGGAAAAAAAGGAAGCGGTAACCATATTACAGACTGTTTTAAAACGATCAAATAAAAAATCCAGAGGTTGGTCTTGTTTTATGCTTATGGAAGTGTACCTACTATCAGAGCACTGCCACATTTTGAAAAGCTTATCTGCTCTCCTAAATAAACATTCTGTTAGATGAAAAGTTGTCTTTAACTCACATCATGGGCAAAACCAGTTTCACTGGCTACATTAAAAGCAGATGACTGTCAGTACTCATTTTGCTGGTGAACAGAAACCAAAATGCATATCCCTCATTACAAGTAAGTGCAATTTTTCAACTCAGAAGTCTGAAAGGACTCATTGAACAACAGCTGGTCATTCATTCCAGTACACAACTACTTCTGTATTTTGCAGAAAATTAGGAAAAACAGAAGAACACAGCATCAGTTCTAATTTTTGCTCTTGTACAAAACCAAAGAAAGACAGCAAATATAATCACCAGCAAGTTGTCCTGGACTTATAAATTATGACCTTTTTCTTATATACAAACCTGTTATGTATTTCGGCATTTCCTCAGAAACACTCTGGCGTCCTCCTTGCCATCCTCCTCTTCCTCTGCCTCTCTCTCCTCTATTCTGCCCTTTTGGAAAATACTGGTCTTTCCTGTAAGAAGGCCCAGATGACTGATTCGAAAATTTCTGCTGCTGATACTGCTGCTCAGAATGAACATCTCCTGGAGGGTTTAGAGATGAAAAGAGGTAACAGAAATGCAAAGCAGTGTGAGTAACTGATAACTATACACAATCTTTCCTCATAAGATTGCATTGCACATTCCTCCTATTATATTTAATATATGTACCTGAAAAAGCTATCAGAAATCAAAAGAATTAAGTTCTTTTTTATAGGAAGAAATACAAATTTTGCACTGTCCTGCAGCAAGTCTGCAGTAGATTAAGTAACTTTCGCACATTCTGAAAATGGTACCCAATCCAGACTTTGCCTCCAATACTCTATTAGATCCAATAGGAAAGACCTGACTAAAATCAGCCTATGCAACATCAGTAGTGAATTTTACTATTGTCTAGTCAGGGTTTTAGTACCAAACCAGCAAAGTCAGTATCTTTCACTCTTGCCCCTTGATTTTTTTTGCCCGTAAGCAAATGTATTCTTGTCACACTGACATGTATTTCTGTTACAGCAATAAATAAGGTAACCATGATACAGGTATGTTGGTGCGGTAAGTTACTTTTCTGGTACAGGCATTTAAACCAATATTGAAATTAAGTAACTAAAACCTATAGTAAGCTTCCTAAGGTAGAGAAATATCTTTCAAGAGTGATAAGCACCTAACAGCACTTCAAGTTTAAAAGGGCCTTGAAGTCCATATTTAAAGATTAGTTTATATTCAACCCATTCAGTTAAGACTTGGTTAGGATTTCTAGCACAACTTGAAATATGGTTCTCAGGCAGCTCATGCTGGACAACTGGACTAAAATGGGCCAAGACAGCCATTCCCACCATCCCACCCACTGCATTAAGATGAGTGCTTAAAGGAACATGGGGCCATACAGTTCAGGGAGCTCCTCTGGTGAAAATCAACCCGTGAGTCAGGCAAAATGGGGTAAGGGATTAAAAAAAATCAAGTTTCAGGTTGATCAGCTTCTTAAACAAGCCTATCACATTGTCCCAGAAATGCTATCATTGGCACGAGGAACAGGCTGGAGCAGATTCACCTCCAGTAGCCTCAATTTATATGAACTTAAAATGTCAAGGAACCTCCTTTTCCACTTCAAATAAGCATGAAGTTTTATGTTTAGTAGCAATGCTGTTGCAGCCCCGATGCAACCACACATCACGCAGAACTGCAGTAATTCAGATGAAAAAATAATCTGGGGTGGAAACAGAAGTTAGTTTTCATGTGGAATAACTCCCTGATCTGGGTTCTCCACATGGCTGAGAGCAGCACTGTCCAGACACTAAGGGGAAGGTGAGAAGGAAGTAGCTGGGAGAGCGAGATGGATGCTACCTGAGTCAGCAAATCTGTGTAGACCTACAGCCCAAGTCAATCATAGGAGGGTAACTGGACAACAATTAACTCCTATCACAAAAACATCTTTTCACTATCAAGTTAGCCTAAGAATGGAGGAACTAACTATTTTAATCAGAAGATGGAAGAGTGTTTTAAAAGACAGCGACTGACTTAATACCTAAAGAAAAATTAAATTCTTTCAGGTACTCTGTAGATCCATAGTTTTATAATACATATTTAGATTTTTTTCTTTCCTGTTTCTACAAAATAGCCCTATAAAACTGAGATACTCACTAATACTACAGAAGAATGTTATATGGATGAAAATCCGCCCTATTCAACAGGACAGAAAACCATAACCACGTAACCTTAGAAGTTCCCTGCTACAAAGGAAGTTAGAAAACTGTGTTTAATCTAGCAGTACTCCTTTAACAACATTCCAAAATCTTCAGACAGGGCTGACCATAATTTGCTACATCATTCTGTCTGCTTACAAACTTCTCAGTCATCCAAATACGCAGTGACACCTCAGCATTTTTTTGTTCAACCACAAGATGCGATTTGTCAACTTCTGAAGGCCTCTCAGTAGCAGGCTCTGCTCCTACTTACGCTTGTTTTTCCAGAAATTAAATAGGTAGCAAAATAAAAACATGAAACGCGGTGGGGGGGTGCATAGAAATCAAAGTCCAATTGAAGCATACAGAATGCAGGTTGAAACACACATCTAGCATATAAGTTGACAGGATCCTTCAGTCTTCAGCTGCAAAGGTTACCTGCGTACATAAATGCTCCAGCAATGGCCTAGCAACACTGCTATTTTAGGGAAATGCCTTGCTGTCTCCTGCCAATACTTTTCCATAGATACAGGAGTTCCCATAGATACGGGAGCCACAAGCACCAAAAGGTAAAATGGTTGGGCATGCTGATCTGATGGAAAAACAGTGCATTTATCATAGGGCCAGCACACTAAACCAGCTCTTCCTGCAGCTCCTAGGTCTGACAGAAAGATAAGGGAGGTCACTGGATGAGGTGTAACATCCAAGTCAATTTTAAGACTAGAAACCGCAACAAACAGGTAGGGACTTGTCATGTAATCGAAGGGGTAATACAGAGAAGCGCCTATTAACGAGATTTATGGCAGGACCAGGGCTAAAGAGGTCACCAGCGGAGGACAAGGCCCTGGCGTGTTCCCACAGCAGGTAAACCTCGCCAGCCGCGGGAGCTGAGG